CTTATCTGGAAGAGCTTCACTCATGTCCGGTGATTGGTGCTGGTTGTCAGCTATATGGGCCACATCCCTCCAGCTGCCTAATCCAGGCCCATGCTGTTGTAACCCAGGTGTAGTCACAGGATGGCAGTTGCAAGGGGTCTCAAGAACTGCAAGGGGGTGAGGCCCAATGCACAGCACTTTTCAAACCTCTACTAATTGTGTCTGATAGTGTCCCGCTGACCAAAGCAAGTCATGCAGCCACATCCAAAGTCAGTGCAGGAGGAGACTACACCAGGGGGTGCTTGCAAGGACATGTGAGCCAGCTGAAGGCCACAACGGCCACACGGCTGGTCCATGAATGACTTGTGGCAACTAGAAGGTACAGGTGTGACTGCACAGGGGCATTCATTCAGAACAGAAAGGAAAGCCGGTTGCCCAAACCAGCAGCTACTTTGGTCATCGAAGGCACAAGATGCTCCCCAGCAGGAGTGCAGTTTCCAAAAATGAAGACCAGAGAGAGAGAACATTCTAGCATGAAGTCTTCCCATAGAGACCAGAACACAGCCCCCATCCTCAGCTCTTGGGGACTTCTGCCAAGTCTAGAGGAGCAAGCGGGGCACCCCCAGCTCCTCCTGAGCCTGGTTTGTGGGGTGCCAGGCTCTCCCAGCCCAGCCCCTCCTCACTGGGCAAATGGTGAGTCCTGGGCCCCACTCCCGTCAACAGTGATATGCTGAAAATCAGGGGTTGAAAGAGGAGGGATGGGTGGTGAGAAGCAGGTGAAAAATGACTCCTTCCCTAGTTTTCCTTTCTGCCCCGCCCCAGGAAAGAGGAGCCAGAGGACAACAGCTGACTGTTCCGTGTCACAGGCGACCCATCTCTATTCCAGGAGCAAGGTGAGTGGGGTGGTCCTGCCCCAGTTGCCTGTGGAGGACCAGCCACCACAGCTAAGTGATTGACCAGAAAAGCAGCCACACCCACAGCACAATCAGCACAGGGAGGCAGACGGTCTGGGTCAGCCCCACCAACCACCGCTGAGTGACCCTGAGTCAGTGACAGCCTCGCGCTGTCAGTTTCCTCTTATAAGTAAAAGGACGACTAGATTAAGACTTCCTCTAGGGCCATCCCACCATCCTATGTCCTAAGCCTTGTATGGCAGTCCAGGGCACACAGAAGTACTTAACAACCACGGCTTGTCTCAAAATGGCAGTCTCTCCAGAACCACAAGAGAATAAAGCTTCTGTGATCTAGGCCAAGGTCACGGGGCATCAAGGTTGCTTTTAAATCCATGTCTGGGCCACACATCTCACAGCCTTCCCTTCATCCAAAGGGCCATTATGGCAGCGGCGCCTCTGCCCTCTGGGCCTGATTCCAGACAGCTCCCCTCTCCTCTGCCCAGGAGCCATCCCCAAGTGTCCACCTACCATTGACTAAGGCCGTCCCAACCATCCCTCAAAACCCTACTTCCCACTTGCTGCGGCGGCATCTGTGAGACGGCCTGACGGGAAGGAGGTGTCACCTCAGAATGGGGGGAAGTCACAAGCCACCATCAGGGTGTGTCCCTGCAGGTCCCAGGAAGCAGGCCAAATCGAGGCCCCAAACCTGCCTCTCCAGAGTGAGCGAGCCGCACTGTTGAAAGAGTTTTGATTTTTCTTTTCCCTGGACCTTCTCCCCCGCAATCGCCAATCAGAGGGAAGTAGGGACAAGAGAGCATTTCTAAAGCCTCCATGTGGTAGCAGCAGTCGTCCAGCCTGAAGCATCCTTCGGGAAAACAAGAATTAGGATTCTCACAGACTGGAGAAAGACTAGAAAGCCAGGAAACGATGCTCTCTCATCCCCATTCCGTGAGACAGACCCCCTTTCACATCCCCTTCGGTTCTCCAGATTTCACCACTCAGCAGCTTCCATGTCTGGGGCTGGCCTGAAGCACTCCCCCGAGAACCCAGGCTCATCTTCCGTGTTTACTCCCCAGACACTGTCCCCACCTGGTTCAGTTGTTTATTGCAAGTTCACTGGTCTCCCTGCACCGCCCCCCCCAACACACTCCACCATTTATTTCTATAAGTCAGTTTCATCATGTTTTCTCGTTCTTTCATGAGGTAACAAAAATGTCTCTGCCTCCCAATTTTTACTCAGACAGGGCTGGAGGAAGGGAGACAAGTGATGGCTCAGGAGTCTGCATGTCACCCTGGTGCTGGGGGACACTTGAGGGCTCACTGACTTGAGCTCTCCCACAGAGGCTGGAAAGGATGAAGTGCCACGTTTTTCTTACAGGTCAAGCTGAGAAGGCTGCAGGCCTCCGGCTGACCCCGTGGGCTCCCTGCCTCCTCATGGCTAGGGGAACATAGCCACTGTTAAATTGGGGCGGCACATAGATATGAGGGGGCACTAGAGGACCCTGATAAATCCGTGCTGGCTTTGAAGCTCTAAATAAGAGCTACCCTCGCAGCCTCCTTTCTCCGGGTTCAGAAACCTGGACAAATAGCTCCCCGCCTCCCAGGGCCAATGCCCAGATCCGGATGGAGGGGGAGGAGAGAGCGGGCTGCGGGAGGGAGGGGGTGGCATGCGGCTACCGCTGCTGCCGCCGCCCCCTGTGTATAAAACTCCCTTTGTATGCAGGTCGCCGGCTGCTCCCCATGCCAGGTGCAGCTGCCAGGATTCTCAATGCGGTTTGAACACAATTTGCCAGTGTTGGTTCAGCTCCGCTGGCTTCCAGTTGGGGGGCCATATGCTGCCTTTAATCTGCCTGTGCGATTCTCACCGATGTCAATAGGCGCGGGCGGGTGGGTGGCTCAAATGGCCCCAGAGCCGGGGCCAGGGTGGTGCTCCTACTGCTGCCAGGCAGCCCTGTTCTCCACACCACCAAGGACCACCAGCAGGTCCTTGCAGGAGGCTGTGGCACTGGGCGGTGGGGACAGGCGGGCCCGGCCGCTGGCAGCTGCCCCTGTGTTTGGCTATGGCGCGTGGGAGCCTCTCCAGTCGGCCATCCCCATAGCCGTCATTGGGCCTTCCCCTCCGCAGAGATCCCTGCCAAGGAAGTCGGCCCGGGAGGTGCCAGCGCTCAGTCCAGACTTCACATTTCCCTCATTCTTTCTTTAATTGGATTTTTGGTCCTGCTGGGCAAAATAAGCTTTCCACTGGCAAAGCACTCCTGCCTCTTCTGAACGCGCGATGGTGCCCGGCGGCTCTGGGCGGCCCTAGGCAGAGCGTTGCCTTCCTCCCTTGCCAAAGCATTCATTCTTTCTCTCCAGGGACACAAGAGCGTGGCGCGTGTGCACACACGCACACACGCGCACTACATACCACACGCCACATGCACACACACACACACCCACCACCATATGCACACACACCCACTGCACACCACATGCACACAAACACACACCCCCCCACAACCATATGCACACACATACACCACATACCACATGCACACACACACACCCCCACCACCACATGCACACACACACCCCCACCACCATATGCACACACATACACCACATACCACATACACACACACACCACCATATGTGCAAACATACATCACATACCACATGCACACACACACACACCGCCACCACTATATGCACACACACATCACACACTACATGCACACACCACACACATAAACCCTGCCAGGTCCAGGCAAACTCAGCCTCCCTCCGAGATCTTGACATTGAGGTCTTCTTTGCGAACAGTGATTCTCACTAACCAAGTGACATCCTCCCTCAGAACAGCCCAGCATCTGGCGCCACAGACTGAGCTGGGCCCAGGGGCCGGCCGCACCCTCAGCAGCTGGGCTGCCTCCTCCTGGGAGTTAGACCCTCCTGCCCAAAGTCCTGGAAGTCCCAGTTTTGTGCCCCAGTCACAGATTAAAGTACCAAGAAGCCATCTCCCGCCGTTCCTTGACAACCAGGCAAGCAAGCTTAGCTTAGTGTGGATTTGGGGGACTGGGGGAGGGAGGGGCTGAGGGAGAAGCGCCAGGCAAGCCGAGTCTGCCTGAGAAGAGGCATTCCACTAGCAACATGCAACGGAAGACATGTGGATACTCAGGCCTCGGATTCAGCATTAGGGAGGATGTAGGAGGAAAAGAAGGGAGAGAGAGGGAGGAGGAGGAGGAGGGAAGAAGGAAGAGGAGGAGAAAGGGAGGAAGGGGAGAGAAGAATGGGAAGAGGAGAGGAAGGGGGAAGGGAGAAGGGGAGGGGAAAGAGGAAGAAAAGGGGAGGGGGAGGAAGAGGAGGAGGGGAGGAAGAGGTGATGGAGGGGTAGGGGAGAGGAAGGAGGAGCGGGGGAGGGGAGGAAGGCTGGGTGGCAGGGAGGCACCCCCCACCCCACACCCCCCACCGTCTTTGAAGGAGGTGTGTTTTAAATGGAGGTGGCTCCGAGGGCAGGCAGGCAGAGGCAGGCCTAAGCTCTTGGGATTTGGCTCAGCGTCGCAAGGGCACACTGCCCTTTGTAGGATCCCCACTCCCACACCCTCCCGGAGCCGCCACTGGCCGTGGGAGCCCAGCGGGCCTCAATCTCTGCTCCTGGGCTCCGGAGGCCCCGCGTTGCCCTGCATCTGCAAGTGTTAGAGACCCCCAAGGACCACCTTAAGCAGCCCTCGCCCTAGGGTTGTGAAGGCGCCTATTAAAACACCCAGCGCTCAGCCCCAACAGCGCCAGAAAGCTGCTGATGGTCAAATATATCACAATCTTTGCGAGTCCCTGTTAACAAGCACCCATTAAAATTTGACAACCAGATAGTGGCGCAGAAAGTGCTCATTTTGAAAAGACTTGAGCGCTTTCTGCTGGTTCAGCAAGACAAAGCCAGTTTACCTGTCCCTTGCATTTTAAGCCCGCAGCTCGTGGCCCCAGCTCCTGGGCGATGCCTGGTTCATGGGACACGGGCGTTTATCCGCCAGGCCACATCTGAACCGACTTGTTAATAAGCCTGCCGTGGTAAGCTCACTGTCAGTCAGCCTGCCTTTTTTTAATCAAAAGATAAAACATTCGGTTATCAAGGATTAATGACTCTTACAGCATCCATATGAGGCTCGTATTTATCTTTTAAAAGAAAACGGAAGGAAGAAAAATGACCAGATTTTGTTTCAGTAAGCAGTTTAAATCTGCTCGGGTAAGTTGAATTCATTCATTCATTAATTCAGTCGTGTGTCTGGGAGAAGCCAGCAGGAGCGCCTTCCATCATAAGAACTTCTGACTGTGAAATAAACCCCGAGTAACCAGATTAACTATGAAGTATGTCTCCGTCGGGTTTTCGGCATTAGTTCAAGTGTAGTTTCTGGACGTTTCGGCTTATTGTAGCAAGTTGCCGATTCTGGTATTCCAAGCAGCGCTTCGGGAGGGGGAGAGCTCGTGTGTGCAATGACATTATTGTGCAGTGTTGATTTAACTGAGAATATCAATATTTTAAATAGATTCCCATATGATTCGTATATTTTTGCATCTCACAGAGTGTGTAAATATCTCTCTACGTCGGAACACACAGAGGCATATGTGCATGCATGAGCATGCGCACACACGCGCACACACACACAAGCACCTGTATCACATATATATACGTAAGTGACCATGCGACGAGGATGGCTACCAATATATTCATTTAAACAGTTAGGGGCCTTTGTTGACAACAGATAGTAGGATCCTGGGATCTTTCATTTAGCAACCCAGGTTATAGTTTGGCCCCCAAAAAGGCTAATTGGCCTTGCTCTCTTCCAAAGTGGGCCCTGCTGTTTTCTAAGTTGGCTGTCTTCGCATTGGCCTCTTTCTCCATCTTCCGCATCCTCTTTCTGAGTGTCTGTGTGCTCTGGGGGATGAAAGCTATAACTAGTAGAGGAGGGTACTTGAAATCACAAGCAGAAATGTCAGGGTGCTCCTTCCCACGTCCTCAGCAACGAGACGCACTCAGGTTACACTGCCGGCCATTTCGGAAATTAAATGTTTACAACCCCACAGCACATCATTCTATAGCTTCAAAGAAAGGCGAATACTAGTTCTGGAGTGGTCTGCAGATCACAGACAAATTCAGAAAACCCAAATGAGGTCAGTTTACTGAGGTTTAACCTCTTCGGGTCTCAGGCTTCTCGCCTGTGACTTGATGATATTAACACCTGATCCTCCAGCCCACGGGAGACCTAGAGAAGAGACATTAAAGGACATGCCCGAAAGGGATTGTTTCAGGGTGAGGTAACTAACAGCTCCGTTCCCGTGGGAAGGGTGTCACCTGGAGGAACTGGACCCCCTGCTGTTTTGCAGATTGCTGTTCTGACCTCTGGGTTGGGAAAAGAGGCTGTTGGAGGTGGGAGTGTGGAGCAGGAGTCTTGATGAGAGGTTCCAGAGCCCCGTCCTCGCTCATAAAACTGCGAGGTCCTGGAAGAGCTTCTCCTCCAGAGGGAGTTGGAAATGCAGGCAAGGGGCCATTCCGCCTCACCATGCCGGTCATTCCTTCTGGTGACCAAAACCCTCAAATTAGTAAAGGGCTTTGCCCTCAAGATCCGTTAACTACAAAGGGAATAATCCCCACTTTCCTTTGGAGAACGCTGCCAAGCACCCCTTTAACCAAATCACAAACTGACGTCACGTGCCTCCTGAAACGAAGCAGCAGCAAGGACACAGCATCACTTCTCTGATATTCTTGCCAAACACACGGAACCTGAATCTGGTCGTGAGGAAACATGACACAAACCCAAGTTGAAGGACATTTTGCAAACTAACTAGCCTGTATGCTTTAAAAATGTAAGGTCAAGAAACGCACCTAAAGGCTGAGGGACTGTTCCAGATGAAAGCAGACTAAAGGGACAGGACAATGAAAGGCAATATATGATTCTGAATTGGATCTTGGGACAGAAAAAAGTTTCTTTTCTTTTGCTATAAAGGACACTAGTGGGACAATTGAAGAAATGTGAATTCTGTAGATTAGATCACAGTATGAAAGCAATGTTAATTTCCTGATTTTGATAATTGCATTGTGGTTATGTAAGAGAATATCCTTGTTTCTTAAGAAATCTATTCCAAAGGATCAGAGGTAAAGGGTCCCCATGTCTGCAACTTATTCTCAAATAGTTCAGAAATATCTATATCTATAGCTAGCTAATCTATCTATCTATCTGTCGAGAGAGAGAGAGAATAAAGGAAATTAGTAAAATGCTAACCCTTGGAGAATCTGGGTGAAGGGCATATCAGAATTCTTTGTACTATTTCTGCAACTTTTCTGTGAGCCTGAAATTTTTTTTAAGCTAAGAATTAATAAATGTATAAAGGACTTTGAATTTCTCTTTGGAGCAGTGAGGAATGAGGAAGCAGGGGAGAGGACCGGAGCCAAGAGTTGGTGAGCATGAGGGCCCCCAAGGGTCAGTGGACAGGGTGGTCAGCACCCAGAGGACAGGAAACCGGACAGGGCCCAGCACTGGTGTTGACCTCAGACAAAAGTTGCCTCTGGAATTTTCTGCAATATGTGTACTGAAGCAGACTGGGAAAGTGTTTTTACGGCTTAGTGTCTAGCACGGGGCTCACCGTTTAGTGCATGGTCAATCCGGTTTTGTTGCTGAATGAATGAAGGAATGAATGAATGAATGAATGCAGATGCTCCTCCCTCTGCATCACACAAGACAGGGCAGCAGGCTCTACAGGTCTGACCAGGGCGTTTACTGGGTTCTCCGTTTCCTGGGTTTACCGGCTTGAGCGGCTGTGGGAGTCAGGGCCTCCTGCGTTCATCCAAATACTTATGCGAGATTCATCATTTAAGCCACAGCACATCCCCCAAATAAACATGTGCGTCTTTGCAGCCTGCAGCCCGGGAGCACTATTAAATACACAGCGCCAAAAGGCCCAGGCCCTGGCTGCTGCGTGCAATTTCCAGCCGGCTTGCTATTCCTTTGTCACCGCCTTTTTATTGGTTTTCTCAAAGTGGTTACAATGCTGTTATTGTAAAACCCTCACGCCAGAAGAGCGAGAGAGGCGGCGGTGATGGGGAATGGAGCAATTTCTGCCAGGAGAGCCTGCACACCCGGTGGGGGAGGCTACCTAGCGAAAAGGGGGGGAAAGGAGCCTTTCTTTGTTCAGGTCCACTTGACCCGCTCGTAAATCCACTGGGAACTGGGGCAGCCCTTGAATTCCCTGGAGGGTAAATGGCCTTGGTGCTTTCTGCCCCTGGGGAGGCCCCTCTGAGGAACCCCAGCAGCCCCTCCTCCTTCACAGTCCAGCCCAGCTTCTTGATACATGGCCAGGCCTGGCCCCAGGTCCGGGGCGGTGGGGAAGACAGAAGCCACACTCTTGGGGGCTGTGACTTCGCCAGCGTCCTCACTCCTCACCTGCAGGAAAGATTTTTTTCATCCCATCGAGTTATAAGCGTTAAGGTATAGTTTACATGCCATAAAATGTGCAGATCTTAAGTGTCCGTATGCCTCAATGACTTTTTACACCCAGCTCGAGAAATAGAGCAGTGCTGTCCAGTAGAACTTTCTGCAAAGTCGAGAATGTTCTGTATCTGTCCCATGTGGCTATGGAGCCCTCGAAACGTGGCTAGTGAGACTAAGGAACCGAATCTTTGATTGTATTTCGTTTTGAGTTACACAGCCACATGTGCCTATTGGCAACTATATTAGACAACACAGATAGACAACATTTCTGTCATCCTAGAACGTTCTGTTGTGCCCCTTCCAGTCTTTTCTGACTTCTGTCACCATGGACCAGGGGTTCTCCACCTCAGCACGATTGACATTTGGGGCCAGATCATTGTGGGGGCCAAACTCTGCCCTGAAGGATTTAAGCAGACCCCTGGCCTTGACACCCTAGATGCCAGCAGCGTCTGCCCCGAGTTGTGACAACCAAAAACTCCCCAGACATAGCCAAATGTCCCCCAGTGAGGGGTAAGGTAGAGATTCACCCCTGGGTGAGAATCACTGCCCTAAATTAGTTTTGCCTGTTTTTAAACTTCAAATAAACGGAATCATACTGTGTGCAGCCTTTTTTCCCTTTTATAAACAGCAGAAATGTATTGCTCACCGTTCTAGAAGCTGGAAGTCTGAGATCAGGGTGCCAGCACGGTGGGGTGAGGGCCCTGTTTCACATCACAGACTTCTCACATCATCTCCTCACTTGGGGGAAAACCATGTCCAGCTTCTTTTGCTCAACGTAATGTCTGTGAGATTCCTGGAGGCTCTTGCCCATCCCTTGCCCTTCCGAGTAGTAGTCCGTCTCATGGGTGCACCACAGTTTCTTTATCCATTTGTCTGTCGATGAACATCTGGTTGGCTTCCCCTTTGGGGCAATTATGCGCAAAGTGACTGTGGACATTCATGTGCAGAACTCTGTATGGATGTGGGTTGTCATTTCTCTTGGGCAGATGCCGAAGAGAAGAACTGTTCAATCACAGGTAGGTGTGCATTTAACTTCATCAGAAGCTCTCCTCCATTTTGCACTGTGTCCTTCTCCGTTCCCGCCAGCCCTGTATGAGTGTTTCAGTTCCTCCACGGCCTTGCCATGTGGCATCAACTACCTTTTTAATTTTAGCCCTTCTAGTGAGAAGGCGGCTTCCTAAAGGCCTCAGAGCCAGCCAGAGGAATCAGATTAAAAATGCAGCTACAATAAGAAAAGCACAAGAGGGGGCTGGCCCAGTGGTGCATCGGTTAAGTGCGCACATTCCGCTTTGGCAACCCGGGGTTCGCCAGTTCGGATCCTGGGTGCGGACATGGCACCACTTATCAAGCCATGCAGTGGTAGGCATCCCACATATAAAGTAGAGGAAGATGAGCATGGATGTCAGCCCAGGGCCAGTCTTCCTCAGCAAAAAGAGGAGGATTGGCGGCAGATGTTAGCTCAGGGCTAATCTTCCTCAAAACAAAAAGAAGAAGAAAAGCGCAAGAATTGGGAGGGGCCTTGGAGACTCAGAGCCCAGGGAACTGAGAGCACCCTGGAGGCCCCCAGTGGGGTGTGGCAGGTTGCCTCCCCACAATTCTCTTTCTGCTCCACAGCTTGCAGGAGGGGAGAGGCCATGGGTCGTGCTACAGGGGAAGGAAGACACAGACAGGATGACAATTCCTGGAAGACAAGGTTTAGATCACAAATGAGAATAGCAAGTAAAATGTGTTCTATAGCAAACCCTCAACCCCTCCCCCTCCCTATCCCCACCCCACTTTCAACACACACACACACAAGCACACACACACACACACACACTCCTCCACTAGAGACACAGGACCGCAGTTTGTTCTCTGCAAGGGGTGGGGTAATGTGGATGAGGGGACAGACAAGCAGAAGGAAGAAGAGTTGCTTAGTTCTTACTGGGGGAGTTCACAATGGGTTGGCTAAGGACTTGCCAACCTTTGGGGGACATGCCTTGCGAATATTAGAAATTAGACACTAAAAGATGGGAAATCCAGCCAAGAAATAAATCCCAACCCCTACCCTACCTCCATGCGGCTTCTGGTCTAATTTTTGGTGGAGAATAACTAGTGCCACTCAGAAGCTGGAGATAATATAACGCCACCAGAACCCGGACTCAGAGAGCTGCCTGTGTCGGGACTGACAGAATGTGACAGGTTAATCCAGAGGGGCTTACCAGAGGAAGTCGGGAATCTGAGGGAGACGAGCGCCCGGAATGAACCTAGAGACAGAGGAAGCACCCCACCGGTCGAATAAGAGTGTGTGTCTTAACATGCTCTCTTGTTTGGTGCTGCTTCTGAGGGCCTCGTTAACTGCAGTGCTCCCCGAAATTGCTACATTAGGGAAATGCTCTTCCCCCCCCCAAAAGAATTAATCTCTTTTTAGAATAAGCAAACTCCTGGTAATGAAGCAACCTACCGCCCTGCTGAGTAAGTGTCAGTCTCTTGCGGGCTGCCCAGGAAGGTCTCTGACAATGTTGTCCTGTGGGGGGAGGGGGAGTGAAGGAGCAGGGGACAGGGGTCTCCTGGAGATGGCATCACCTGTTTTGTCAATGGCTCAGGAAAGAATGGCTGGAACTGGGAAGTGGCCCTTCTGGCATTCTGACCCTAGTTAACCCAAAAACAGGACTTGGACCTAGTTTCCTTGGGCCTAAACATCTTGGGGCTAGAACATTCTTAAGGGCGCTCACCTGTGGTAGGGCTCAAAGTTGGCATCTGCTTGGGGAGAAGCGATGTTAGCCAGCCAGGAAAACACAGCAGCAGGGACATCAGGCTGAAGATTATCAGCCAAATGCTCCAGGTTCGTGTTTCTCCGTGTATTTTCTCTTTGCCCGCTTCCAAAATATTTACTAAAATGTGAGCTGCATGAAGGCAGGGGCGTCTCCATTTTGCTCACGGCTACACGAGCAGTTGGAGATGTGCCTGGCACATTGCTCACGAAATATTTGTGAAGGGCTGAGCAGCAAAGCCCTAGTTGAATGCTCAGACCTGGATTTCGTTGAGCTCCTCACTCATCTGGGAGGGCAGAGTATTAGGGAGCATAGAAGGCGTGATCAGGGTGTGGCAGAGAAACATGAAGCACCCTTGAGACCAGCATGACAGTCTCAGCGGTGACCAGGGGAGGAGCCCAAGGGGAAGGTGACTTCTCCGAAGTTCCAAGTCCAGCCACATTGTCAGCCCCTCTGTGCCGATTTGGCTGCCATTGCCCGTCTCTGGGGGCAGTGGGCCTTATTTTACTCAACAGTGCCGTTACGTGGCTTCCTTCCTTCTGCAGGCCCCTGAATGGTCACAAGCCAGTTTCCAGGAAGGAAAAACTCCAGGCAGACAGGGGAGGCTGGACTCCCAAACTTCCCTCCCACAGTTTGTGTGCGCCCAAGAAAGACGCCCCTTATGACTGATCCCAGGAAGGACAGAGTCCTTTTCTTTGTTTTGCTTCAGCAGAGTGGAGACAGGTAGATATTTTTTTTAATGCTTTTTTTTTGGTGAGGAAGATTGGCCCTGTGGTAACGTCTGTTGCCAATCTTCCTTTTTTTCCTCTCCCCAAAGCCCCAGTACATAGTTGGATATCCTAGTTGTAGGTCATTCTAGTTCTTCTATGTGGGATGCTGCCACAACATGGCTTGATGAGCAGTACTAGGTCCACACCCAGGATCCGAACCGGTGAACCTCAGGCCACTGAAGCGGAGTGTGTGAACTTAACCACTCAGCCATTGGGCCAGCCACGAGACAGGTAGACATTTTAAAAATGAGCTTTGCTAAAGACCGAAAGAGGAACAGAAACTTAAAGCAGTATAAAATCACACTCAGTTCACAAGTCCAGACTCCAGGAGGCAGGCACGCCCGGATACAAAGGAGCACCCTTGGCTCCAAATCTGTGCTCCGGAGTCAGATAAGGGAGCTGGAGTGCCAGCCATCGGCCCCGGCCTGCAACAAGCTAAGGCCACCTTCCTGCAAGAGGCAGACACCATCTCTGTTCCAGGGCCTGCGGGGAGTCACTTCCCTGTCCTTCTGTCTCAAGGATGGCACCTCACAGCTCCCCTCGGTCTCCCCCATGACAGGAGGGGGCAGCAGGCCTGTGGATGATTTGCAGGACAGCCGTGGTTGACAGCCAGCAAATAATAGAGCTCTCTGGGTCTAGTTTCTCTAATCCACCTACCGCTGGAGCTTCCCTTGGCAACTCACTCAGGAAGCGCCCCTCCCCCCACACCATCTGGAAGCGCTTTTTGAAAAATCTACTCATTATTGTTAAAAAGCAACACGTAGGCTTTTGCAAGATACAGTTGCCACAGCAGCCCCTAAACTGTAAGTTCCTGGAAGGCAGAGATTTTCCTCTGTGCCTCACTGTATAACCATCACCTGGCACACAGTAGGAGCCTAATAAATGGTGATGGAATGGATGAGGAATGAATAAATTTACAAAAAGCGTGTTCCAGTATCTCTGCATAACAATTATTCTGAAATTTAGCAGTTTAACAACCATTTAATCATGCTCAGGATTTCAATGGGATGGGAATTTGGACAGGGCACAGCAATGAAGCCCGGTCTCTCTGCTCCATGATGTTTGGGGGCTCAGTTGAAAAGACGTGAAGGTTTGGGGGCTGGAATGCTCTGGAGGCTCCTTCACTCACACGTCTGGCACTTGGACTGAAATGACTGGAAGTCTGGGCTCAGCTGGGACTGTGGATCCAGGCCCCTACATGTGGCCTCCTCATGTTGATTGGGCTTCTTCACAACATGGCCGACTCAGGGTAATCAGAGTTCTTACGTGACAGCTGCTCAGGGCTCTAAGGCAGAAGCCACCTGGCCTTTTATGACCCAGCCCTGTCATACTCTTGGTTGAAGCTGTCATCAGCATATCCAGATTCAAGGGGAGAAACAGACCCTACCTCTCATTAGAAGGAGTGTCAGAAAACTTTGGGCTGACATTTTTAAACCACCACAAAGGCCGAAAGATTAGAAAGCCCTGTCTCCTAAGGATTTTGCGTTCATTCCTTCAACAGAATTTATCTTGGGCATCTGCCCCGTGTCAAGCCCTGGGTTGGGTGATGTGTAGGCATTTAGTAGGTGAACGAAACAGACATTATCTCTGCCCTCAGGTAGCCTGCATTCTACCAGAGGAGAGAGACATTAAAGAAATAAACACACAAACAAATGCAGAGTTATAGATCATGATGAGTGCTATTAAGTGGGGAGAAGTGCCCGGAGAAAAAACAGGGAGACCCAACTGTGACGGGAAGTATCTTGCTCCTCTAGAAGCAAAATCTTATGCAAGGTTTCGAGTGCAAGCAATGTCTTTGCAGGCGATTCCCGGAAGCACTGTAGGGCAATAAGGGCATGAGAGAGCCGGGAAGGAAGCCAGAGGATGTATTCATAAGTAGGCTATCACGGTTGGCCAAGGGTGCTCAGTGCCGTGGGTCATTTCGTCTGGTTGACAGTGTGGAACACACTTCAGATTGTCCCACCTGAAGGATGAGGAAGCCGGGACATCTACCCACCAAATCCTAAGAGTTGTCGTTGAGGGCATTCATGCCAGCTGCCCTCCCTGTGGGCACTGCCCACTCAGGCAGCCAGGAGAGCCTCCTGCAAAGGGCCCCAAGTGCTGGCATAAGGAGCCAAGGGGATATGGAGGGACACCAAGGCACCTGCCCCAGGGATCACCGTGGCCCTCCTTGAGCAAGCAACCTTCTCAAAGAAGGAGTTCAAGGGTCAAGAACGTAGGAATTGTAGATGGCCCATATATTTGTCTGTGTATATGTGGGTTTTCACCAAACACCACCCCCATGCCGGCCCTTAGCCCAGTGCCTTCCATAGCAATGCGTCTAAGGTTTTCCTCCCAATGCTTATGGGTTTACAATGACTGTCTGCACCGAGCACCCTGCCCCCACCTGCCCGTCCCCTTGTGACTAATGGAAAACATTGGCAAAATTGCCCACGGGGCAGGCAAGGTGGGGCTGTTTGTGCCCAGGAGAGCGTTTTCCCTTTGTGTGAGGTCAACTGCCAGGAGTTGTGGGCGCCACGCCCTGCAACTCTGACCTCAGCTGAGCTTAGCAGCAAAGAGACTGGCCCACCTTGAGTTACCATGAAGCAAGTCGTGGGGCCTTGTTCAGGCCTAGTCAATCCCCCAGGAGGGAAGCACTTGTAGGAAAACCTGGTAAGCAGCACCCTGGTCAAGGTGTGCTCACATTAACCGGAGACCATGCTCTTGACACGTCCACGGCTCACTGTCAAGGCTGGCAGGTGGCTCTCCAGCTCTGGACCCTTTAGTGAGATGTCAAGAGAACACACACGGTTCCTCAGCAAAGCTTC